CAAGATTTCAGACAAAAAAATTTAATTCAATACACAGATAAGTAGGTTATATATATAAAATATATATAATGAAGCCGCGCGGTCAGCAAGTGTGTGTGTGTGTGTCCCAGGCAGGCAGAGCGTCTCGCCCCAGCTGTGAGGGAGGGGGGTGGAGATAGGAGTAGCTCAGTCGCTCTCTGTAAACGGTCAGAGGAGGGTGCGCTGAGCTCTACACCCCACAAATGCCCAGAACATGCCGTATACCTTGGAAATCCGTTCGAACAAGGTCACACATGAATGGCACGAAACACACAATGCACTAAACACTTCACAGAAAATCACTGTCACTGACACTGCTCAAAGTTGCGAAATTCTTCGAGGGATGACGCGGGGTTGACCCAAGGCGGGGATCCATCAGCCGGCTTTCCACAAACTTGCACTAATCACTCGTAATAATCCAGTAATCCTACGCACTGCGCCATGTTAGATGTTCTGGGTAATAAGTTCTATATACAGGAGAGAACACAAACACCTGTATAGTTTTGTAGGTTCGGTTTACTGGATAAGAGTATGTACACAGAGGTGGGTAGCACTGCTCCCTAGCTAAGGTCCTGGTCAACTACCATAGACGACGTATGGCAAGTGATACATTAGCAGCTTCCATACGTCGCCAGGCACATTAATTAAGCATGTGGGATATGGTAATAACATTGCCACACGCTGCTAGCTAGGCTGAATAAATATAAATGGAGCACATACATAGTATACATACATAATACATAATCCAGCATACATAATATACATACAATATGAGAAATGTTCTTTAACAGGTTTTGACCGAATTATATGGTACACGTCAACGTTGAGGGTTTATTTCTCCAGCAACAAACCAATAACGCTCCTATGAGCGTTAACACATGCAGTCCCTGCCATATGTGTGTTGTTCCGTTTTGTATTTTGACTTTTCACGTCTGTTGAATCGTCCTCATCGTCTCTCAGGCACTGTGTGTGTTGTTGCTCGTACCCAGTATCGGTGGCTGCCTGCAGGCAAGATGTCCGAGGCAGGATGTCCTTAATACAACGAGATTAAGATTTCAGTGCATGATGAGCCCTGGGAATCCGGAGTGTAGCCGAGCATCATTTGTTTGAACACCAGCGGTGTAATCCTGGTGTACTCATCTTGACTCTATGTGCTAATGATTATTCTTGTACATTATTGTGGATGGGTTATCAGGAATACAATTGTCCCAAGTTGAGTATTGAAGCCATAAGTATTACCATCACCAGTATTAGAGTTTGTTATTATGACGTAAGTGAATCAGCTGTGCTCACAGTTGATAGGTGATGGTGTTCGTTCCATGCTTCTTCATCAAGTAATGACATAAAGCAACAAGTACTGTAACAACATCCCTGTGCCCTATTGACAAGTATTGAATGACCACCAGTCTAGTAGCACTATTGTACAATAATACCCTTAAGGAGGTACTGTATAAGTATTGATGTTGCAACTGGTACAGGTTGACAATCCCTTATCCGAAATCCTTGGGACCAGATGCATTTCGGTTTTTGGAATTTTTCGGATTTCAGAATGGTTAGGTTTTTTTTTTTTTTTTTTTTTTTTTTTTTTACAGATCAGCCCACCTGGGCACAGTATATATCACACTCACATTAGCCTGTGGGGCCAAAATATATCAATACACACACACACACACACACACACACATTAATAATAATAATAATAACAATAATAATAATAATTCATAAGTCTCGGTCATGTTTCTCACTTTTGATCTTTTTTTTCATTCTTGTATTTCTTTATTATTATTATTATTTCATTATTACAGTATTATTGTTATTATTATTATTATTATTATTGTTATCATTCTTATTATACTTTTGTGTATTTTTTACTAAAAAATTTATTTACTATGAATAATTATTATTATTACTGTAGTATCATTATTATTATTACCTGTATTATTATAATTATTATTACTATTACATTTTCACTCCCAAGGCCCCGATGTGGGTCAGTGACATGTGCCAGGGTGGGCTAATACCCATAAAAAAAAAAAATGCTCCACAAATTTTTTTTTTCGGTTTTCAGAGCTTTTCGGTTTTCGGAATTTCGGATAAAGGGTTGTCAACCTGTAATTGAAGATATATTTTGGTTACTTATAAAGTATGACCTAGTGGTCAATTCTGTTTTGTGTAAGTGTTATAGTAAAGTAAACAGTAGTTGAACCTAAGTTTTATTTTTGTGAGTGAAGGTTCAAATTGTCATAGTTTTCAGATTTGATTTTAATAAATATTGAAACTGTAAACTGTGTGTATCACCAGTCATTCCTTCTAACAATAGCCATCCCTGAAAATACACGTGATTACTCACGTGCCTACCCTCTTGAGTCTACCAAAATATCAATTTAATTAAGAGGTTAATTGTAGATGTTATATTCTAAAGAAAGCCTGGGTGGTGGCAGTTCTAGGATGTAAGTACAGTAATTACAAGAGTGTGTAAGAATAGAGAATAATGTGGTTCTTCCAGGTTAACCCACAAAACAGAGTACAACAAAGTAAATCTGAGAATAAAAGTAAGTACGAGGATAATAAACAAATAAGTAAAAGTACTGAAAGAAATACCATAAATACTTTGAGAAAATTAATTAGAAATAAATAAAAGAAAAGAGATATAACTAAGAATAAAACTGGAAGGGTACGGGATTCGGGGAAGTGTCCTAGCGTGGATCGGAGACTTTCTGCATGATCACAAGCCGTGTGTGGTGATTAATGTTGCGAAATCGGCATGTGTACCTGTGACAAGCGAGGTATCACAGGGCAGTGAATTGAGCCCGTTGTTGTTAGTTTGTTTCATAAATAACATGCCAGAAGCAATACACTTCTCCATATAAAGTTTCCAGACGATGCCAAGTTATTTAGGGAAGTTAAGAAGCAAACAGACTACGTTGAGCTGCAGAAAGATCTCTGTGAGTTTCAAGAGTGGCTGAAGAAATGACTGCTAAGAGGATGCACCTGGGTCGTACCAACGGTAAGGGGGCGTATAATATGTCCCAACGGGACGAAGGAAGTGCACTAATAGAGACCGACTACGAAAAGGACCTAGGTGTGTATGTTGACAATGAACTGAAGTTCTCGAGCCATTATGAGAAGGTGAATCAAGCAACTGAGGTCTTTTAAGAAGGTCGTTCAGATATTTAGATGGTCCGTCCCTTGTAACGATCTTCATGAGTAAGGTATTTCCCCGCCTGGAGTACTGTCACGCCATCTGGCCCCTGAGATATGCTAATGACTGTCAATTGATTGAAAATGTCCAAAGGAGGGCCATCAGACTGGTTCCTGCACTTCAGCTATTCAGAGAGGTTAGAGCGCCTGCAACTACCTAGCTGATCTACAGACGGGTGTATAAACATATCAAAGGGCACTTCTCAGTCGTGTGTCCATATCTGGAGCTGGCGGACGCCCGCCCCACTAGAGGTCACAGCTCAAGTTTGAAGAAGCTACAAGTGCAGAAAACTGTAAGGGTAAACTTTTTCTGAGTGAGAATTGTGAACTCTTGGAACAACATTCGGGGAGTGTTGTGACGGCACCGAGTGTGAGCTGTTTCAAGACCAGACTTGACCAACACTGGAGCAGGTTCTGATACATTCAGGAGCAAATGGAAGCCCAATACTTGTCAACAGTACGCAAAAGAGACGAGACCGACCGTCCAAGTGGCTAACGTGCTGATCAGTGGTGAAGAGGATAAAAGTAAGTAAAACGTAATGAGGGATGCCACGTGACATCACTTGCACGGCACTATTATGAAGGCTGAAACCAGGGAGGTGCGACGATCACGATATTATATCTTAGCAATAATGGTTTGTGCCGTCTTTTGTGCAGTTCTAAGTGGACAAATTAAGTAAATTTATGTCTTTTAAAACATTTCTGCGAAACGGAAATCTGTAAGGAAATGGCTAAATATGTGCAAAAGAATGGATCTTAAGAAAATATAATCAAGACATGTATTTAACAAAAGTGTTTTCATTTTCACTTTTCACGTGACAATGAAGCTCTCCTTAAAGCCAAGATTATGTTCTACGCTAAATTTACCTAAACAGCATCCTGAATCCTGTTTCATATGAATCATATAGAGTAAATATGTTTGCCATTGCAGACTTTTGGTTGACTTGTAGGAAACAACAGATTAGTTTTGGGAGAAATAGAAGATTTGATTCCTATAACTTATAAATTGTCTTTTAATTTTTAACATGTCCATATTTTTTTTTTTTTTGGCGGGGGGGGGTTTATAGTGTTTTGATTTGCCAGTTTATATTACTACCTGTACGCATAATGAGCTATATTGTAGCTGTGTGATGCTTTTATTTTCCTGGTGTGGTGTAACAGCATTTTTTTAATTCTTATATACTTGAGACTTTTATAGCAAAACACGCTCATAAATCTGAATCTGGATAATTGTATTAAGTTGGGACGACTTCTTTACATATTACCTCGTTTTTATTCTCAAAGTCTAGCAGGCGAATGATCACTGAAGTGGGGTTTGTGGCTGCTTATAGCTGATCATAATCTAACCACAGTTTGATAATTGAACTTAGATTTGTCTCAAGACGTCTTACACCAACTGGTTCAAGAATTCTTAGGAACAAAAGTTCATTGTTTCAGATTCATGAGATGAGTAAGCTTTTCTTATTTTTTTTAAATTAAAAGCAGGATTAATGAGTTTCATCTTTTAAAAAGGTATTTTGATTTGATTTTTGTAATCCAAATGTGTTAGAGTTACCAAGGCGACGCTGAGTAAAAAAAGATGCAAACTCGGGATTTATACCACTTACCTAACAGCTTACTAGATATTCGAGTGGTCGGTCTATCCTTGATCTTATCCTCCTCGCTTCCTCAGTGTTTTGTAGCTAATTACCAACACTTGTCCCTCTTGCTTTATGACTGCCATGGAAAAAAATAAATGCAGAATATATTTTCGACAGTGTATTAAACTTTTGGTAACTTAATATTAACCCCTGATATGTAATATTTAAAACTCTCTGATTGAACATTTAACATTCTAACAGCCTGAATATCTTACATAAGTAAGACATATTTATGATTCATGACATTAATGTTAATATCACCGAGGATTTTAAAAGATTTCAGGGTACTGAAATTCTCTATAACTACTCCGTGACTGCCGCTGGTACATCTGGCGGAAGTTGTGTAGTCTCCCGAGTCACCAGACCCCCAGCAGAGCCACCACCAGTTGCGCAAACACTCGGGAGAGAGCCTTTATTATCCGCATGATCACCACGCAGGAACACGGCCGAGGCTGAGGTGGAAACATTTAGTTGATCACAAACGGACATCACTTCTTTTTTGCCGGGCGGGGACGGTGCTTCTGCTGAGAGTTCCACACTACCTTCTGGGGTGATTCTGTAGGCAGACAACGCACTTCCTTCACTGTGGGTATCGTCCTTTTGGAGCTGTTCGGCGTCATTTGAGAAGCTTTCAGAAGATACTATACTGTCGATGGGCTCACTCTTCACTGGAGTGAGTTGCTTGGCATTGGTTGCCGTGGCTATTGTCTCCGAGTGTTTCATATTAGTCATTTGTTCTTCAGAAACATCGTCGCCGTCCCCACTAACCATTCTTGTATAATCTGTTGTTTCGACGCCAGTCTTCTGCAGCGTTGAGTCACCATTGCATTTCCTTAGACTGTGAGACTGTATCGCGTGCTTCATTCCCCTCACTTCCATAGACAGATAGCGGTGATGAGGGCTGCTGCTACACTGGTCTTTACCATTATTATAAAAGGAGGTTATTCCCATATTAACATAAGGAGGCACAGTCTTATTGGGCTCAGGATGCACTTGGCTAGTTGCCAGTATAATAGACCTGGGATGATCATCCCCAACGTTCACGTAGCTTCTCTCTACCTCGATGTCATTCTTACCTTTTGTTGTTTTAAAGTTAGTGCCTTTTGAGCACTGTTTACCCTTAGACACTGACATGTCCAGGTATTTGCAAGTATGGGTGTCATCCAGGTGAGAGTGGTGAGTGTGGGTAATGGACTGGCTGTCCTGACGCAGATCTAGAGGCATCTCGTGGATGACGGGCTGGTGAACACGGAATGAAAAGTTCTTCTTTCTCCTAGACATTCTAGCATCCATGTCTTCGTAGACCAGGGAGGAAGCACTCAGTATATTCGGCTGAGGGCATGTCATGCCAGCCCCACATTCTAGGCGGGTGCCCCTGAAGAAGAAGTTCCCCGGTCGCATGGCTCCGGTAATGCCGAGGTTGCTACCACGGGCAAACAAAGGCAAATGTGTCCTAGGCTCCTGCAGATGGTGAATGGAGGGGCCAGCGGAGTCCAGGGGAGAGTGTAACAGTTCCCCAGTCTCCGGTAGCACCACCGTCGTTGTCGTCTGTGACCAAAGGGAGCCACCACGAGCACGAAATTCTGAGTTATCGTCTCTTAAATGGCCACACTCTTCCCCGGGAATACTCTCATAAGTGTGTGCCCGTGTCATCCGACAGGCCATCAGCCCGTCCATACAACCCTTACCCTTGTCACCCTCCATCCCACGCTCCTTGTGCTCTGTAGGATAAAAATACAGATTGTTTAATTCCCATCCTGCGTTGCCACTTAAAGTAGTTATCATTGCAACACCTCCTAACCTGCATATCGTAAATAGAAAAATATCTGTTGATAGTGTTTTTCAACAGCAGCCAGTGAAGGAAGTCGATCTTACCCTGGGGAGGCGGTTGGCTGCAGAAGTGAGTGAGACGGCAGCAGCACTGTATACTGGTGACGTCACCCCCACCATACGTGTACACCACGGTGATCAAAATACTCTTAAGGGAACAAGAGAGACAATTATTGTGGAAAGTCTTGATGTTATTAATATATATATATATATATATATATATATATATATATATATATATATATATATATATATATATATATATATATATATATATATATATATATATATATATATATATATATATATATATATCATGTAGATCCACAATGAAAACGTGGATAAGATAAATCTTGATAAAATCTCACAGGGAAAGGGGAAGCAATGGAGCACCTTAGCTTTCGTCTTTATTCAAGACATCTTCAGAGGCAACTGAATAACATGGACCGAGAGAGGCTTAAGTACACAGGGTGACCTTACTAAACATTAGGTCAGGTCATAAATATGACCTATATATATATATATATATATATATATATATATATATATATATATATATATATATATATATATATATATATATATATATATATATATATATATATATATATATATATATATATATATATAAAACAAAGGAGTATGGCTGTGTGTTTGTTTGTTTGTGTGTGTGTCCGCACGAGAATCTCGGAAACTACTTTACCGATTTGTAGTGATGATGTATGGTGTTATATGTAGTGATGATGGATGGTGTTATATGTAGTGATGATGATGGATGGTGTTATATGTAGTGATGATGGATGATGTTATATGTAGTGATGATGGATGTTGTTATATGGAGTGATGATGGGTGGTGTTATATGTAGTAGTGATGATGGATGGTGTTATATGAAGTTATGATGGCTGGTGTTATATGTAGTGATGATGGATGGTGTTATATGTAGTGATGATGGATGATGTTATATGTAGTGATGATGGATGGTGTTATATGTAGTGATGATGATGGATGGTGTTATATGTAGTGATGATGGATGATGTTATATGTAGTGATGATGGATGTTGTTATATGTAGTGATGATGGGTGGTGTTATATGTAGTAGTGATGATGGATGGTGTTATATGAAGTTATGATGGCTGGTGTTATATGTAGTGATGATGGATGGTGTTATATGTAGTGATGATGGATGATGTTGTATGTAGTGATGATGGGTGGTGTTATATGTAGTGATGATGGATGGTGTTATATGTAGTGATGATGGATGGTGTTATATGTCTGCGTGTTATATGGACTAAAAATGAAGTATCTATATGGTACCTCGTGTTTCATACCAGCTGGATTCGGTAAAATGCTACTGACACCACATACGAGGCACGGGCAGTTCCCAATGAGATTCATAGCGCCATCAGCTCGATGAACAGGCTTTGTGTGAAATATAACAGAGTCTAGGACTGCTTTTAGTGTCCTTGTGGGTTGGTTGGTAGCGTTCCCTACTCCCACCCAGTAGGATGAGGGTTCGAATCCTGGCTGGTGAGGTCATTGATATATATATATATATATATATATATATATATATATATATATATATATATATATATATATATATATATTATTTCAATTCGGCTAAATAATATTATTCTTATATCTCGAAGACACCTGATAGAAAGAGAAAGAGTCCTAAGTGGAACGCGTGTATATATACCTGTGTGAGGGTAGTGAGGCAGAAGACGTACTGGCCGACAAAGTGATGCTGAAAGAGGCTGGTGACGATGAGAGTCCACTCGCCTGCCACCACCAGGGTCAGGTGTCTTATACGACCCGATCTATCCAATCATGGATATATATTCAGTTGTTACTCATCCATGCATAATGGTCCAAGATTTATAGCTCAAATAGACCTCAAACAAGGGACAAATTGGTAATAAGTTGAAAATTTCAGGAAAGACTTATTTTGTATTTCATTTTTTTATGGGGAATATCTCACCCGGCCACAGATCATCAATCCACACCGTGGCCTCGGGGGCGAAAATAATAAGAGTAAAAAGAAATTTAAAAAAATAAAATAAAAGAGAAAAATATTATATTAATCTACACCACGAAGATGCCAGAAAACCAGTTTTGCGAAGTGAGACAGGTTGTAAGAGTATGGAAACACAGAAGAGGGCAGAGAATTTCACAGTTTGGCTGTGTGAGGAAAGAAGGCTGTACTATAATGGGTTATTCTAGTGTGACTGACATCCACAGAGAAACGGTGGGCACCGGGGGCAAGACTAGTGTTACGAGCCCACTGCCTTGCCGGCGGTACACAGGATGCCAAATCCACCGGAAATTGCACGTTAAAGTATCTGTAAAAGAGAGAGAGAGTGACGCAACATTGCAGTGAAGAGAAAGGGAAGAGGGATTATCAACTAAAGGAGCAGAGTTAATAAGACGAAATACCTTTGATTCTACCCTATCTAACAGTTGGACAGAGGAAGTGCCACCCCAGATATGAGAGCAGTACTCCATGTTAGGACGAATGAATCCCTAAAAACTTGAAGCAACCACTCGGGAGTGAAGTAGCGACAGAATCAGTACAGCATTCCTAGTTTTCGGGAGGCAGATTTAGCAATGTTGTGGGTGTGTGGCTTTCATGACATATCAGAGGAAATGGCGAGGCTTAGTATATCTATTCTAGAATTTGGCAGAATGATTTCGTCCTGAAATGTGATTGGTGGGGGAGATCTTCTCTTTTGGAAAGAGTAATTAGTAAATACTCTGTTTTATTACTATTGAATTTAACCAAATTTCTACCTCCCATTCGGAGATACTGCACAGATCCACATTAATAGATGGAACGATATCAGCTCTAGAAACAGATCTAGTTTGTGAGTTAGGGGGAGGGGAAAAGTGAGAAGAAGAGTTAAGAGTAAAATCATCAGCGTAAGAATGGATAGAATTAGTAAGAGTGTGAAGTAAATCATTGATAAAAAGAAGGAAGAGAGTAGGTGAAAGTACAGAACCCTGTGGAACACCACTATTGGTAGAGAAATAGCGAGAGATCGATCCTTCGACAACAACTGCCATGGATCAATTCTCAAGTAAGTTAGAAATTAGAGAACAAAGTGGGGGAGAGAAAGCACAAGAGGGAAGTTCAGAAAGCAAAGACTTGTGCCATACCCTGTCAAATGCTTTGGAGATGTCGAGGGCCACTACATAAGTTTCCCCATAATCCCCTAGAGAGGATGGCCAAAGATGGGTGTGTAGGAGAGTAGATCACCAGTAGATCTCGCCTGGCGAAAGCCATACTGGTGATACGACAAAAGAGTAAGTCGTTCAAGGTGACGGCGAAAATGAGAGTTTAAAATAGTTTCAACAATCTTAGAGAGGGATGAAGTTAGGGCAATGGGGTGATAGTTAGAGGGATGAGAATGGTCACCCTTCTTTGAGATGGGCTGAACCAAGGCATGCTTCCCAGTAGAAGGAAAAGCTTGGCTTTTGAGGCAAAGGCGAACGAGGCGAGCAAGCACAGGGGCCAGAATTTCAGCACACTCCCTCAGAACACGAGGGGTATTCCGTCCGGTCCATGCGCCTTACGCACTTCCAAACTGGATAACACACCAGCAACCCTACGAGTGGAGATTATGGGAAAGTGCATAGGTTTAGTAAGAGGAGCAGGAGTAGGAGGGGTAGAGTTGGAATCGTCTAAGGTGGAGTTAGAGGAGAATAAGGTGACAAAGGTAAAAAAAACACATACAAAAAAGCATCAAAAGTACTGGAACATCTTCCTTGTGCTAGCTTAGGAATTTAAGATGGCGTCCAAGATGGCCACAATTCTGTAGTTTATCATATATTTGCAACTAGACATGATAGAAATATGAATACATGCCAAATCATAGGTTTTCAGACACGATCAATCCTATAAAGTGTAGTGTCTTAAGCCAGGCTAAGAGGTGCGCATATGTTGGTGTACCATTATTGATTGTGGTTGTAGTGTTGGAGGGAATAGATGTGTCAAATTTTACAGTGTGTCTCATTCACCCCAATCACAGGTGTTACCTTTCCACGGGTCATGGAGAACATTTTTATTTAATTGTGTTTGTGCTGGTTCGGGTTTTTCTCCAAGGGGCGCTTCCACTGCATTTCCATCCACTAATAATAAAAAACCTTAAGTCAAGTAAGTTAAAAAATTCCCGACCGGTTACACACACACACACACACTCACATATATATATATATATATATATATATATATATATATATATATATATATATATATATATATATATATATATATATATATATATAGAGAGAGAGAGAGAGAGAGAGAGAGATGACCGTTTAGACCAGAACTAAAAGTGGATGGAGGGATAGAGCCACGACTGTTTAGACTAGAACTAAGGGAGAAGCGGGAGAAAGAGAGCGAGAGCCTTGACTATTTAGACCAGAACTAAGGGTGGAGAGAGAGAGAGAGCCATGACTGTTTAGACAAGAACTAAGAGTGGAGTGAGAGAGAGAGAATCATGAATAACTTACACCAGAGTGACGCTCTTGTGGTTAGGTGAGGCTCTCTTGATAAACGTGAGCTGTCTTATGTTGTACCCCGCTAGCACCGCCCACAGGAAAAACACGGCCACTAGGGAACCGAGCACAGCCGTCGTTATCCCCCATGCGTCCTCCAGGGGCAGCCAGCTGGTTCCCAGGTGACTGTGGTGGTGGAAGCGTTGCAACGTCCACACCATCACTCCCACCACACACGACAACACTGTCGTACACAATGTGTTGTATGTTATTGTTTACCTCTTCTTCTGGATTTTTAAGTGACAGTCTTGTTCATTGTTTCATTATACTCAAATATATATTGTCGTATCTTTAAAAGTCGCAAGTCGTAGACTACTTTTGATGTTTGACTTTTTTATCAAAATATTATCACAAAACAAGGAACTGTATAAGCTATTAAAGTTTAAGATGAACACTAAGTTAGAACATGAAAGTATGACTTGTAATTAACATACCGACCACAGCGAGGGTGGTGTTATGTATCGGGGAGATGGGCTTGCTGTGGGTGGTGACTGCCAGATGCTGGTGGAGAACCATCTGTTGACTCACGCCCACGCCCACACATAATACAAGGCAAGAGCTCCCTACCACCCTTACGCCTGCCTGTACCTCCTGCCCACCCGTCACGCCAGCCAGGGAGGGAGGAATATGTTGAGGAGTACACTGGTGATGTAATGTTAATTTTTATCCTATACTATCTATAAGTACCTGTTGAGGAGGAATTGCGGTAAGGGTACATAGTGTTAGTTATTGTATGAACTACTGTCTATCCTTATACCAGGGAGGAAGAGGTTTAAGGTGCTCTCGGTATACTTGTCCCTTGCAGTGTGTATCCTGTATAAAGTGGAGAGTGTAAGGAGACTTTAACAGGACGTGACCTTCCCTAAAGACCTTCATAAGAGCAACACCTCAAGGAAAAATATAAAGCACAGAACCTTTGTTTGTTGTCTCATGCAGGTATTACAACAGTGAGTGTACCTGTGACGTGGACCAAACAGCGAGAGTGGCGAAGGTGACGTTAACGCCGCTGAGGGCAAGGCACTTGAGCATACGCAGCTGAATGGTAGTGAGGGAGGCCCTGGGCAGCAGAAGCAGTAGGCACACCACCGTTGCCGATGCTGACACCAGACAACTCCCCGCCACAGCAGGTCGCCCCTCCCATCCACGCATAGGAATAAGCTTCTGAATGTCGATAAAAGCATTTCATAACTTTGTGAATAAAAAATGGTGGTATTTGAAGTAGTACGGTCATTAGGATCATAAGTGTTATGATCAAGAAGTTACAACATTATAAGGACCACTTTGTAATTACGTGGAAGCACAAATTGTAAATCCCTGATCTGATATGAAAGTTTAGATATATTCCAGATCCTCCAGGTTCCCATATCAGGTTAATAGTAGTCTATAGTGTTCAGCTTACACAATTATGTTAGCTGGAAGAACTGAACACCGACCTGGAGTACTTCTGGAGGTGTTGGTCGCACAAGCAGGAGAGCAAAGAGGCCTTGACCACGGCACCGACACACACACACACTCCCTGCTCCAGCTTCACCATCATCAGGGGAGGACGTATGGTCGCCAGGGGCCTCCAGAAGGGAACAAGGATTGAGGTCCCAGGTAAGAGCCTTGTCAACCATCCCCACACGGCCACAGGCAGGCACCCTCGACGCCCTCTCCTTACTGTAAAAGGTGTGAGAACGGTTGTACTGTAGAGTGTGGGCATGACGTAGTGAGTCATGAGCCAGATAGTGAGGGTCGTTTGTTGAGGGTGAGGAGGAAATAGATTAAGTTCACAGATTGTTATTGATCGTTGTTACGACCCTAGGGTAGATCGTTACATAAATACAAATTACTCAAGTATTTAAAATATATCAGTTTATTATTATATTCTTAATCCCAAGTTCTCCCAACAAAGGTCAAGTTAACAGGTCGAAACCTAAACAAGTCACTAAAATTATGAACATTTATTAACTTATTCTCACCACCACATATGTACATAAAATAAAATAAATAACACTAATAATATGACAATATGTTAGGAAGTGGTTGCGTAAGGACTGAAGGTCCAACAAGATCACACAAAATCAATATCAAGCAAAACAAATCTCAAAAGTCAAATGCCAACTCCCAAAACACCAGAGAGAGGATATATTACTTGACATAAGGCAGCTGTGCCTAGACTGACTAGAGTGTACCAGTAGGTCACCGGCGTCACCTCTCTACCGTACTATATCCTGATTGGCTAAAACGTAGGTAGTAGGTAGTAGGCAGGTACCAAACAGGGAGGTACTACCGCCTGGGAAGATATTGGAAGCATAATGTATTGTCTAATGGTAGACCCTGCTGCCATATGGCATCACGAAAATTGTGACCGAGTCCCAGGTTGCTGATCTGACCTTCTGCCTCATTTACACACAATTGCAGGGTCTCAATTGTTTCTCCTACGATTGGCAACACAACATACATACCCCGTATATAATTTCTCACTATTGATATATTTTTTTTTTATTTATGGCGCTTTATTATGATTATTATTATTATTATTATTATTATTATTATTATTATTATTATTATTATTGAATGTTATTAATTTTATTATTATTATTATTTTATTATATTCCAGGCCTTGATGTGGATATAAAATGACCTGTGCTGCGGCTAATGCCCGTAAAAAAAAAAAAAACGTAAACTTTAATCTAAATTACCTATTGACATTAGTTCTACTTATCTAACCTATATACAAACCTAATACAATAAAACATAATACTATAAATATACAACGTAATAAACAAATTTAATACTTAAATGATGACTCATTCAGTGTGGGAGAGTAATGAGCGAAACTGCTCCAGCCAACCATACACCTGTAGTAGATATTCTCCCCTACAACTGCCGATTTGTCACTTGCCGTCCGCTTACCAGCCAACCAGCGGCGAGTTCCACAGACTGGGCCTCACTTTCGGACTGTGCGGTAATTGGCCGGTCAGTCGATGTTGGGATTCCATGTTTTGTTGTAGTGATAACTTTTAATCCAATTTCTTCAGCAGATTCAGGACCCGGAGCTGCGAAGACCTGCCTCTTTTGCTGCATGTTTGAGCAGTCTGCAACTTTGTTGTGATAAGACACTCAATCCTAGTGATTGTACTTACTCAACATAGTGACGGTGTAATTACCATCACAGATTGTACGGGAAATTCAACTTTTGAAAACAAATATTTGGGCTCAAATTTTGACTACTACCCGTGCGTCTACGTCCTGATTGGCCAATCAGTGGTGCCCCACGGTGGCGTGATACATGCACGTTTACGTGCTCTGATTGGCTAACCGAACGTGGCGTGGTAGGTAGGCTGTTTCTACTCTCTAAGTCCTCTTCTTTCCTTTTTCATCCCCTCATGCACCTGTTCTTTGGAACGGAGGCGGGATTAGCGATACGGTCGATCCGGCAAGGGAACCTGTGATAGTGCAGGGCACCCTTGTCCGGGGTCACCGGTAGGTGGCAACTTTCTAGATATAACTATAGTCACAGGTAACCTGGGTGCAGAACCCTACGAGCCCGACGCCCGTCCAAGAGGGGCGGGGTCACTGCTCTCTGGGCAGGAGCCCTGTGTTATAGGTAGGATTAGATGTAATCAAGAAGATGACAACTAGCATTAGAATAAAACATAGAGATAAGGGACACTCTATTGGAAGGGAAAAGTGGCAGAAATCACTTACAACAAACTGCAAGTCCCACTAACAAGAATATTCAGCACCAATGAAGGTTTTAAAGTAATCTGTAAAGATGACTTTGATTCAGATAAAATCCTTTCAAAAGAAGCAAGAGATATATTTTACAATGAAGGCCTTATTGTTGTCATGCCACCAGAACAAAAAGCAAAAGATCAGTTTTTGTTCGTCAAGTCGACCAAGAGATCGGGAGGAAGACATCGGAAGACCTGAAAGATGAACTGGAACGCCAAAATAGGTGGATGAAGATTGAAGAAGTCATTAAGATAAAGGACTATACTCATGATTTTAAGATTACTTTTGAAGAAGTGTCAATGGCTGAGAAAGTTTTACAACAGGGCTTTCTATTCAACATGTCAGTCACACCACATCAAATAAAGAAGGAGACATTCATCAGTCTGCAAACTTGCTTCTCCTGCTACAAATATGAAGAACACACAACGAGACTGTCCGAAAAAGAAAAAGTACTGCTCAGATTGTGCAGGCGACGACCATACCTACACTGAATGTAAGAATACACATGTTGGCTGTCTCAACTGTAAGAGAAAACGGAATGTATACATAGGACATAGGACGTTAGCAATGGCATGCCCAATAAAACACATGATAAAGTACAAGGAACAAGAAACAAGGAAAAGGAACAAGACGAAAGGATATGACATACGTCGAAATAGCAAAGAGAGCGTCCAAGAGGCTCATAGACCAGAATCCACCATATTAAACCTAAGTGAGCCAATACATGATAAGGTAATGATTAGTATGATCCATGCACATTTGCACAATATCATTGCACCCGGATCATACAATGAGGAATTAAGGAAAATGTTTAAATTGAATAACCTACCAGAGATGATATTTCCAGAGAATCCACAACCGAAAAACTATTTCAGGCAACATATGCAAGCGAACTGAGAGAAAGACTACATCTAGACGAACAAAGGTTTGAGCAAGGAGCAACAGCTGATACACAAGGAACACAAGCGACTGATAGAGATCCCAGACAAATGACTAGAAGTGACAAAGAGAAGATAGAAATAACAAAAGGACAGACTATAAGACAAAGGAGTAGGAGGAGAGAAGATAAGATGGAAACTGATCACAATATACAACCTGAATCTGCTGAAGAATGAATCTCAATGGAGAGACAGAGCTTATATACCCAGCAGCCGCTATGAGTCATGTTGGGAAAACCGAGAAGTCGCCGGTCTTTTGGCTCGGTTGCTAGATACGGCGGGCATTGGAATGCCGATACGCTTGGTTGCTAGGGAAGACTGTAACAGGTGGTGGCGTGGCTACGCAGTTGTAGGCAGTTGTAGGGGAGACGTCCACTACAAGCTTGGAACCCGTGC